GGCTAGCCCAGTGGGCCGGATGAATGGCTGTGGCGGGCCGTATGCGGCCCGTGGGCCATAGTTTGAGGACCCCTGCTGTAGATCTAAGTTTGTCTTAAGCCTGTTTAACTTACATGAGTTTTTGAACAGCTTATTTGTCCTTATTAGGGACATATAAATGGTACAAAAAGCCCAAAAGGTCACTCCTCTTTGCTGGCTGCGTGCTTTCTGAAGGCATTACATACAATTTTGAACCAACTTACTGCAGCAGAATGACACGGCATACTATTTTTTTTTATGGCTGATTGGAGTTTAACTTCAATTAGCCATATAAAAAGTATATTAATTTTACTCCACTTGACCAGATTGGCAGATAATTGCATTGAAAAAGGACAGCAAAGCATAGCTGGAAGCACAGCCCACATATATCATGAATATATTTGGCCACTTTCATGTGCATACAGAACAAACGTACATACTATACAGTATACAGAACAAACGTACATACTATACAGTATACAGAACAAATGTACATACTATACAGTATACAGAACAAACGTACATACTATACAGTATACAGAACAAACGTACATACTATACAGTATACAGAACAAACGTACATACTATACAGTATACAGAACAAACGTACATACTATACAGTATACAGAACAAACGTACATACTATACAGTATATAGAACAAACGTACATACTATACAGTATATAGAACAAACGTACATACTATACAGTATATAGAACAAACGTACATACTATACAGTATACAGAACAAATGTACATACTATACAGTATACAGAACAAACGTACATACTATACAGTATATAGAACAAACACATGTATACATACTATACAGTATACAGAACAAATGTACATACTATACAGTATACAGAACAAATGTACATACTATACAGTATACAGAACAAACGTACATACTATACAGTATACAGAAACTAAACGTACATACTATACAGTATATAGAACAAATGTACATACTATACAGTATACAGAACAAACGTACATACTATACAGTATACAGAACAAACGTACATACTATACAGTATACAGAACAAACGTACATACTATACAGTATACAGAACAAACGTACATACTATACAGTATACAGAACAAACGTACATACTATACAGTATACAGAACAAAACGTACATACTATACATATACAGAACAAATGTACATACTATACAGTATACAGAACAAACGTAAATACTATACAGTATATATGTACATACTATACAGTATATAGAACAAATGTACATACTATACAGTATACAGAACAAAACATACATACTATACAGAACAAAATTACATATACAGTATACAGTACATATATACAGAACAGAAAATGTACATACTATACAGTATACAGAACAAACGTACATACTATACAGTATATAGAACAAATGTACATACTATACAGTATATAGAACAAACGTACATACTATACAGTATACAGAACAAACGTACATACAGTATACAGAACAAACGTACATACTATACAGTATACAGAACAAACGTACATACTATACAGTATACAGAACAAACTTACATACTATATACAGAAGCAAGGTTTATAATGCATATATATATATATATATAGGTACGGTTATTTACTTACTTAGGCTGACCACATTTGTATATTCATAAAAAGGATTCCATTTAAATATGTAGCTTTCATCATCACTCATGTACTATTATCTCCCCATACTCTTGAAAGGGCTCATCTTACTTGACCTCTCTCATCACAGGTCACATCTTTCTTGTGTCACATCCTCCTTTTACAAATAATCTACCCTGAAGCCACATCAGCCCCACAATTGGAAGTAACCCTCCATTGTGTGCTACAAGCAAACGGAGTTACTTCTAGATAACAAAGTGTCCTTCCCTGCCTTCAGCCCCTAATGTCTCCCATTCATGTAAAGGAAAATGGCAAGATATGTATACACATGTATATACTCCCAGTCTAGAGGCCCTGTTTATAGGTGAACACTTTTTGGCTTATTGTTTTTTGAACCACTTACAATTAATCAGGCAGGTTAAACTATTCACTATTCATCTTCACTTATTCTGGAGAAACATGGTAATACTGATGTTTACTGTGTCCAAAAGATACTGAAAAGAAGAAAATATACTGGCCTATGGTCTTTTACACAGTGAACAAAACCACAGTGTACATCTGTCTACCTTCAGATCGGTCTTTAACCACTTTCTGTGCAGCCCATGTATATAAACGGCCATATGGGAGCAGTGCAGGGGCGGGTGGCCATTTATAAACGTCCTCCCCACTTCCCTGCTTGTGCACACTCCCTGGGAGAGCGCAGCACCGCGATCGGTGCCCGCTGTGTCCAATGTGTGAGGTCCCGATCATGTGATCACTGATTGGCCAATCAGTGATCACATGAATAGTAGTAAGCAAGATGTCACTTCTGACATCATTGCTTACTACGTGTGAAATCTGTGAATGATCACAGAGGTCACATGGTACAAGGCTATTCACAACAGCCTTGTACCATGTGACAAGCTGTGACCAATCACAGCTCGCACAGTATTTCACAATGGCTGCAAGAATGCAGCCAGAGAGAAGCAAAACATATTGCTTTTATAGCCTTTATGGATGTAAAAGCAATCAGTGTAAAAAAGACTGTCCATAATTTTAAAGGGTGCCTCCGGACTGTCCATAATTTTAGAGGGTGCATTGAAATTGTCCATAATTTTAAAGCGTGCCTTAACGGAAAAAAGGTTGAGAAACACTGCTTTAGAGCACATGACTCTTTCACATCAGTCCCCTATGTAACAATAAATAAATAAATCCCCAACCACATTATGCAAACACACACCTAAATAATGGTATAACTTATCCCTACAATTCTTCTTGTACATGCTTGTTTGTTTTTTCACATTTTTTACCATCTAAAGTTTTCTCCAGTGTATAAAGCAATAAAAAAAATGGAAAATTGCTAAATTTTGAAAGTTAAGATAAAATGGTGACAAGCATACAAACTACCAAAAATGATTAAAATTACATTTTGACCTCTATAAATATGGCCTGTATTGACTTAAATAATATGTAAACCCAACATTTCATATTCCTGATATTTGCTTGCTGTAAAATGCACTTGTATGAAAAAGTATTCAGTTCTCTGTGTGTTGCTTCCTGCTTTCCCATTAAATCTGACTACACTAGGCATGAAATCAAAGAGTGGTCAGATTTCTAGTTGTGCTAGAGCTCAGCCTACTCTCCTGCAATGATCAAACTTGTGTGGACAGGACCCCCCTCCCCCTGCACAGTCATTCACTGGGAAGATCAGTGTGCTGCTGTTTTGCCTCCCTGAGCTTCTTATATATACACACACACACACAAATGTTTTGCCCTTCATTCAATTAAAATGAATGGCTTTTTTAGCGAGGGTTCACTTATACTTTAGCAATAGAAAAAATTGTATCCTTATTCTCCCAAAAAAAATCCAATTTAATGATCCATCTAATTTTCATAAAATTGTTTCTTCCTGTGTTTTTCCGCCACATTGTAACATCCTCCATGAGCTCCCAAACCTCTCCTTTTCGCTCAATTCTGTTTGTTTGGAGCAAGCTGTGCACTGATCTATTCACACTAAAAATTTATTTTATTTATTTGAGGTACTTATATAGCGCCATCAACTTATGCAGTGCTTTACATATATATTGAACATTCACATTAGTCCCTAACCCTGAAGGGGAGTACAATCTAAGGTCCCTAACTTACATTCACACATATGCATACTAGGGCCAATTTAGACAGGATCCAATTAACCTACCAGAATGTCTTTGGAGTGTGGGAGGAAATCGGAGTACCCAGAGAAAACCCATGCAGGCACAGGGAGAACATGCACACTACAGGCAGGTGGTGCTGTGGTAGGGATTTGAACCAACAATCCTTGTGCTGCCAAGTGGAAGTGCTAACCATTTAGCCACTGTGCTGCCCACAGCATATTCCCATATTCCCTAATCCACCTCGGGAGTGAACAAGAGAGGGTGGTTACATTCCTACATACAGTAGGACCATGGAGAACACATGCAGCCACCCTTCAATAGATTTAGAGGCGGCTGAGAGCAATAGAAAGTACATTTTGAGTTAGGAATACATACTTGAATGGCATTTTTGTGTAACGCCCTAATCACATTGCGGCAAATCTCAGCAATTCTGCCCACGATCCCAAATCACTATATGTGAACGGGGCCTAAAACAGCATGTTAATCTCTTCTCTCTTCCCTCTAGGGTTCAGTGTTGAGTGCCTGAGCAGCCAATCATTAGGGACCAGCACTGTCACATGACTATGGTAAGGAACTCCTCACTCCTGTGTAAGCTCTGACAGAGCAATTTGAGCTTACAACAGTAGCACTTGTTGCTTTTCTCTGCATGTTCAAAGTAGAGTTTCTCTTTAATATTCAATGTTGTTTGGAGTATTCTCTCCTTCTACACTTCTTAGAAAAAGTTTTAGCTGAACTAAACTAATGGTCACGACACACCACTCTCATAAAAAAGAGATTGACTTGTTGAAGATTTTGTCTTAGGCTTGACTTCTTTTTTTTTTTTCAGTTTTACGTATGTGTTTTATGGAAATCCCTCTATTGTTGGTGTGTAAAGGTTGCTGTATTTTAAACAACAGAAAAAATGCTACTGTATATGTGATATAGAAACACAGTAATTACTAGCTAATCCTGAGACTTTGCGAAGAGGAGCGGAAGAGGCGAGAGATCAAGGGTGGATATTTACTGAAGTCTACTAAATTTTAAAGGTTGTAAAATATGACAAGCAAGAAATGTAGGTATGTTTAACTGCTTCCCCGCCACCCTATAGCAGATATACTGCTACAAAGCGGCAGGGCTGTGCAAAATCACATATATATATATATATATATATATATATATACACGTGATTTTGTATTTCCGGGCAGGGGGCACGCACACGCAGCTCTACCCGCGCCACCATTGGTGACTACAGCTGTCAATCATTGGGTCCTGGTCGGAGATTCCCCTCTGGCACCCAGCAATCACCGAGGAATAGTGAAAGGGGAGAGGTCTGTGTGTAAACAACACAGAAATCTACCCTGTCAGCATGAACAGACTGCTTTGTATTGCTCTGCACAGCAGAGCAATACAAAGCAGCTTGACATGCAAACATACACAGCTCATAATGTAAAACACAACACAGCACACAGTTAACCTTTTGATCGCCCCCAGATGTTAACCCCTTCCTGCCCAGTGTCAGTACAGTGTCAGTGCATTTTATTTGCACTGATCACTGCATTAGTGTCACTGGGGATGTCAGTGGCAATAGTCAGTTTCCCCCCAGTGTCAGAATGCCCGCCGCAGTCCTGCTATAAGTCGCTGACCGCCACCATTACTAGTATATATACCACATTTGTAGACACTATAACTTTCACATAAACCAATTAATTTATACCTATTGGGATTTTTTAGCAAAAACGTGTAGCAGAATACATTTTGCCTTAAATTTATGGCGAAATCTGATTTTTTTTTTTTTTTTTTAAATTTTAAATTGTTTTTTTTTTATTTTTTTTACTGTGTTTTACTATGTTTTATAGCAAAAAGTCAAAAATATTGTTTTTTTTTCTTTAATTGTCTGTCTTTTTTTGTTTAGAGTTTAGTTAAAAATAAAAAATGCAGAGGCAATCAAATGCCACCCAAAGAAAGCTCTAATTGTGTGGGGAAAAAAGGACATACATTTCATTTGGGTGCAGCGTTGCATGACTGCGCAATTGTCAGCTATAGTAACATAGTGCCATATCAGAAAAAAAATGGCATGGTCAGGAAGGGGGGTAAATCCTCTGGAAGGCAAGTGATATATATATATATATATATATACTGTATATATATATACCCATACAGCTGTAATCCACCTTATTAAAATCTCATACATACATATAGATATATATATACAAAGCTTTTAAGACAAATATAAGAGATCATAACACTGTTCATTGTATATTTCTGGATGTTACGGTAAGGAGTTTTCACAAACAGGTGCTCTTAGTAACTAAACACCTGATATTCTGTTACCTTACTGTGTTTCAAGTATGTGGTCAGAGATAAAGAAACAAATACGGTTTAATTTAGGATTTTTATAGTTAATGAAGACTTGTCTATTATTAGCTTCAGTGTATGGGTAGATGTGACCAGTGACTAGCAGAGATTTGAATCCTTTTGACAAAGGTTAATCTCTTTACACTTGCAGTTGAAAAGCTTTTTTCATCTAGGTAAATGATACCAACTGTTTAAAAAAAGACATAAAGTGTATCTAAACCCAAAAATAAAAAGTGTAATTTATTGCAGCTTACCAAACCCTACATGTGGTGGCTGCATTTGATTTTGTTTTTGTTTTGTTTTTTTGAAAGGTAACTCCACTTTTGTGGGAAAAAAATAGCAACCAAAAAAAAAAATGATATAACATATACAATTGCAACATGATTTATACCATAATTGAATGTTGTTAAAAATACCTTTCCTTTTCAAACTACAGTGCTGTCAGTTTCTGTAAAATGCAATGCAATATGGCAACCTGGAGGCATTCTGTACACAGATGATGTATGGACAACCAGAAATGGCATTTCCTGCTTGTGTGATTGGCTCCCTGATGTTCCTAGAAGTCTGCACTAAGATCAAAGCCAGCTTTTGGGCATCCCCTGCAACAAAAATATCATTTTTGGTGAAATATTTCCAAAGGGAACTCAAGTCTAAAGGGATGCAGACCCAGCCACTTTTCTCATTAGAGCATTGCAAATGCAGCAGCTGATTAAAATCACTGTCGTGCACATTCATTTTGCACACGGACACAGACAAACAAACAGCTATTACTTCGGAATAAGAAAAGGTAGGAATTTGCAACAAAGTTTGTTGAAATCCTTGCAGTGTATATTGATCATCCAGAGGTGACTGTTTTTTTTTTAACAAAAGTGGAGTTACTCTTTAAGTCTTTACTCAGGACCCTGCATTCACTCTATTTGGTCTCCCACAGTACACACTACATGGAAATGCAATTATTTCACTAAAGATAAACTGCTAAATAACTTTTCACATCAGTAGTTAGAGCAATCTGGTGACTTCTTTCAGTGTCCAGCAGAGCACTGGTTAAAGCCTGTAGAAGGAGTTTTCTCTCTGCTCTAGAAGAATGCAGAACCCCTGATCTCTGTCTGGACAGTGTTGATTGGCCCTGTGCTGATCACAAGCACTCTCCCAAGAAACAAAAAAAAACCTCTTTAGCAATACACACCAACTAAGCATGTGCAGAGTGTCTCCACATGATATGTCTTATCGGGAGATAATAGGGGGACACTGGAAGAAGGGGAGGATCAGAGAAGTCAGGATCAAACAGCATTTTTACACAATGCAGAGGATTAACCCCTTAGGTTTCACAGTGAGTATAACAAACATTCTTTACTGTTGTGGGTTTAGTAACACTTTAACTGTCCTAAGATGGGATAAAAGGGACCATACTCACAGTTATTGAGGCCATTTGCTGTCTTTTTTTTAAATCCCCCAAACAACCCCACAGAGGTAATCATCCAGTGCTGCGGGGGTTAATACAGCTGCTAGAGCTGTCATAGGCACCTGTCAAGAGTTCCCAGAATATGCCTACTCTTTCTGTTCCCTTCTCCATTTTTGGGAGGCTGTGCTGTAGCTTCCATCAGTGAAAAGCACTCTATGAATGGAGAACATGCAAATGATTGAGAGGAGTGCTTTTCATTGATGGAAGCTATAGAACAGCTTCTATGAATGGACGAGGGGGGATGGAAAGGGTGAGAATAGTTATCACACTTTGACAGTGTTTATGACAGGTCCAGTGGTTGCATTAACCCCCCCCCCCCCCCCCAGCACAGGAAGATTACCACTGTGGGTGTTTGGGAGGCAGAGGATAGAAGATTTGAATTAGAACAGCAACCACCAGCACAAGAGACACTTCTCATTAAATGTAAGTACTGTCCCTTTTGCTGATTTCTTTAATTTAAACAAATTTAGGCTGTTATTGTACGTAATCTGCACACAAAACATTTTTACACTTCGTCTTGTTTTACTCCAACAAAATGGCAGTGCACTTCTAGCCTCTAACTAGTCTCCTGAGCTTTGGAGAGCCATATAGTGATGCCACTACTTTTCACTGTTCTCCTTGCTGGAGAGGAAGCTGTACCTGAGAGCCTGCAGTGCAAGGTTTTCTCTTATAAATTTAATCCGTGGATCTGTGCTTTCTGAACCTCTCCTGTTTCTGCTTGATCATTACACCACCAGTCATCAGAAAGAGCAGCCCTGATATGAGAAAGTCCTGATCCTATACCAAGATGGCTGTCTCCACATATTTATATTTCATAAATGAGGCTTCCTGATCTATAAGAGGAATCTGATCCTTAAGCTACGGGTGTTTTGGCAGTGAGACAAGTGTCAGAATATTCTACAAATACATATATTATAAGGCAGATTAATAGAACAAAAAAAAGAGATCAAAACAGAGAGGCTGGTCATAAACAAGTGTGTCAATCACAAGGATGTTTTTTTTTCCTGTAATGTACAGTACATTTGTTACATGATGCAAAATTATGTAATTTCCCCATGACTAAGCGTTGTTGATTGTACAATAAATTGGGATAAACAAAAAGGTATTATAAGGGATTATAAACATCCAGAAGTATTGTTATGTTGGTGACTAATGCAAGTGTTTGGTGTGTCTGCATCTGTTTTGAACGTGATATCATTTAGGGAAGCTAACCCAAAATTAACAACTTAATGTTGTGGATGACCATGCTGTGGTGCAGTATATTAAAGCGTGAATAGGACAATGTAACAACACCTTACTAAGGGCGCTTGGGTACATTTATCCGGATGAGTGAGTGCAGCACTTAACAGTATTAATAAATAACTCATCTGAATTTCCATTGTTATGTGTATGCCCTTCCTGTTCTAATTTATAAAAACTAAATGAATTACATAACAAAAGGCATCCATTGCATACGATTTCAGTAAAAGTGCCTTTTCCTCAAAGCCTAAGGGCCAGTTCACACCACTTTTCTGCATTCCGGATGCGTTTCTGCGTGTACGTTTTTGATGCATTTTTTTTAGGTGATCTGGTGCATTTTTATGCTTTTCTATGCATTCTGGTACATTTTTATGCTTTTCTATGCATTCTGGTGCATTTGTATGCTTTTGCATGCATTCTGGTACATTTTTATTCTTTTCTATTCTTTCTTTTCTATGCATTCTGGTGCATTTTTCCCCTCTGTTCTCTTAATCCCAACTAAAGACATGTACTGTACATTTCATTGCCTTTTTGATGTGGTTTTGATGCACTCCTGTGTGTCCCAGTGCTTTTTTGATGCACTTTGTGACCAGATGCTTTCGATACAGAAAAAATGTAGCATAATCTACTTGTGTTGACTGCACTGAAATACACTGCACTGGTGAGAACTAGGGCCATTGGGATCCATGTTAAACTCTTTCCCTACATTTTTGATGCAGAATAAGAGCACGCTGGATGGCATCTAGTGTGCAGCAGCCCTTAATCAGGTTGATAGATTTTTTTTTCTGTTTAAGATTAACAATATGGGTCTATGTCAAAGGGCTTTGGATTTGTGTCAATGGCATCAGTTCGATATCAGCTTAAGACTCTTCTGAGATTATACAAAATTGATTTACAAGTGCCTTTGACCTGCAGTTGACCTCCTTTTGACCTGCTGCAGGCACGTTTTGCATTCCCATAGACTAATATTGGAATTCAAAATTCATTTGAAGCACAGGAAAACCCGTTGACACAGGTCCTATAGCAGATTGGATGTTTAAATTTCTGCCGGCTAGGAAATTAGCTCTGAAGTGCTGGAGAACACTGGTGGTTTTTAATAGCTCAATCATGCTGTTAAAATTACTATCAATTATTTAGATATGAGTGGTGAGTGATTGTTACCCAAATGGAATGAATTGCTCCCCAGGGTGTACTATACATGTATCATGTAGTAGTGATTACACAATGCTCACAATGTATGCGATGAATCAATACTACCACTTGCAACACAAATGTTTAAATATTTAAATAGCTAAAATATAACTACTTTTAGGAAGATATTTTTGGTTTGTTTAACATATTGGGCCAATTCTGGCATTTCTCTCCT